TCTCTTACATTTATGATAACTTTGCCTCTTTATTGCGAAATTGATGACACAATAATCATTTATAGCAAAAAAAAAAAAAAAAACCCTGAATTTTCTCCTCCTTCAAGATTTTCACCAAACTTTGGGATATATATATATATATATATATATATATATATATATATTTTTTTTTAACAAACGATATTATCTAACTAAGTAAGGAGGTTGGGGAGCGTGTGTTAAGTTTCACAATAGATTAGCAATAATATAAACTCGTTTTTGATAAAAATGGAACTTAATACATCTCACTTACGAGTAAAAAAAATTCAAGATTGAAGTACTTAGTACAATCATGAATCATCCATTGACAGTCATATATGATTGTTAGCTGTCATTATTGTATATCTGATTGTTAATTAATGATTATACTAACTATGTGAATGTATTAATTTGAGTTTTTTTAGGAGCACTCAGATCCAGGTCCAAAAAAATCAGCCAATCTTAGATTGAGTTCAATAGCATGTTCTTACCGGTTTAGGTCCAATTGATCTTGTCTTATTCTCATTTTGTCCTTTATAGTAAAAATGTTGATATTTCTAAATTTCTTAATTTATGCATTATTTACTTAAATTTAAATTTCAAAATTTAAATCTTCAAATTCCTTCTGTCTAAGCCACCATCTAAGAAAAATAAGTTAAAGTAAGTTGACTACAAAACCACGACTTCAATTGAAATGAAAAATATATAAAATCCACAAACAAAAATAATTTGTTCATTATAGGAAAAAAAAACATTTTCTACGTAGGTAGATAATTCAATTAATTTGTGATATAGGTAAATTATGAACAAAAATCTATAATACATGAAGATAAACACAATTAATTTGTATGAGAACATCAACAAATGATGTGTGTGCGTGTATGCACTATTAATCCATGTTATATGTAGACTGAAAAAGACAACCTACGATACAGGTAGATGAACATAATTAATTTGAGATAGATTATAAAAAAAAATATTTGATATACAATTTTATCCATGATATAGGTAATATAAAAATTAAAAATTATAGAAGTAGATTAACAACAACAACAAAAAAAAAAAAAAAAGAGAGAGAGAGATACATTGTGACATCCCGTCTCGGGATTATTAAAACGTACGTGTGAATTGACCATTTACCCCCAGTTCGTTTTTATCACATTAGTGTTGTGTTGTGTGGTGTTGTAGGACCACACACACTCATACCCTCTCTTTTTCTCCCGGGATTCCCTCTCCCATTGTCTCTTCTCTGTCTCTCTCTCTCTCTCTCCCCGAGTTCTTCTTCTTCTTTCTTCTACATACGGACACACACACAAACATACTCAAACCTTCACAAATCAAGAAACCAAGACCACCCTCGTGCTCGTGGGGCTGAGAGGAGTCCAGTGGTGCCATTTTCAGGTAAGAACTTCGACGTTTTCACGTCGATATCGCCATGTCCGTTTTAGTTACTGTTCATGCAAGATTAATTTAGTGAGTTTTTGGACATTTGAAGCTTATAGTTGTGTTTGTGAGGTTCCCAGGAGCTTGGGAGTAGCTCGTTGGGTGAATTTGGACATCACGATCGTTGGATGTGGAGTTGGCCGAGTTTTGGAGATTTGGACAGGTATAATCTCGTAATTTTAGGCCTTAAAACTTGTTGGGACATGTTCTACTAGCTCTAGGGTTGATTTTGGTGCAAGAAACGTGGAAAAAGGTGGAAAAACGAGCGAGAAATCTTGATTTGCAGGTTTTCCGGCGACGGTGTCGGGGACTGATTGGAGAAGGAGACGGAATATTCCGTCAAAGTTGACGGAATATTCCTGACGCCGTTAACGGCATCTGGTTAGGTTTAACGGAATATTCCGTCAGTTTAACAGAATATTCCTGACGGCGTCTATTGACACCGTCAGTGTGCATGGCACGTGGCCGCGCGTGGGGGGCGCGTAGGTCCGTGCCTTGGCCGGCGCGTGGGTGCGCGTGCGGCGGAGAAAAATTATTCTAAAAATATGGTTGTGATCCTGAGGTTGTGTAGAGCACGTTGGTATATTCAATTGTCCATTTTGAGCAATGTATGAGAAGTTATTACGAGAAGTTGGTTATGTGCTTTTAAATTAACGTTTTCGTAGCTTTTTCGCGTATAGGTGATTCGTATTCCGAGGACGAGCGTACACACTCGAGGCAGGGGGGCTGACCCTTCCACTTATCAGTGAGTGGGCTTTTGTTTTCCGTATATACCTATATACATTTAAATTCCCAGAAATAGATTAAAAAGGGGTAATTGATTTATGCCATGCACTTTATTATTATCACTTATGCATCATCACATGCATTAGTAGCGGCATACATTTATATATGTGTATTGGTGCTGTGGACGCACAGGTAAGTGCCAGGTAAGTGGTATTCATGTTTGTATGCAGTAGTAGTTTGAGATGCTTAGAGAGCTCATAATCTGCACCCCCGGTGTTAGTGCTCCCGCCCAGAGTTAGGGGCATAGCCTTCACGTGTATGTTCACCTCCCGCACCGCATGCTCGCCTTGGATCCAAGTTAGGTGCACAGCCTGTCGTACAGACCACATTAGGTGGTTCCGACTTGTAGGTGACCCGCGATTTATCGCCCAGCTTCACATGATCGTAGCACTAGAGCATATATATATATTACACCAAGCCTGTCGTACAGACCACGATAGGTGGTTCCGACTCGTGTGCAGATTCAGTTATTGAGTTGAGATTGGAGCTCTATATGCAGCCGTACAGGTCACGTTAGGTGACTCCCGGCTGCCAGATTATATGTTATTGATGTGAATTACGTTTGAGCACTTACATTTGATTATGAGATTCCGTTGTGGCATATTCTCGAGCATGAATGGCATATTTTGGAGCATGATTGGCATATCTATACATACGTATATATGTTCATTTTCTGGGAAGTATACAGGTTTTACGGCGAGGGGTTAGAATGCATTTTGCTAAAGAGTTTTCAAAGAGCTTTGTTTTTGCCCACTCACGCTTTTGTTTTGCGCCCCTCCAGGTTCTAGTGGTCTAGCAGGTTCGGTGGTTTTTCCCAGAGGGCGTCCTGGCATTTCTGACAGACACTCACCATTGTAGGGTCACCTTCGGGTGTATTTATGTCGCATCTTTCCTTTTTGACTGCTGTAGACTTGCTTTGAAATTGTGTCTCACATACGCTAGCACTTGTTTTAGTACTTTGTATGCTAGTTTTTAATTATTCGTACTTTTATATTACTTTCATAATAGCTTCCGCACGCGCACATGGCTACGTCACCTTCGGGTGACGGCCAGCACTCCCTGATCTCGGTCGAGGTGTGTCATACATAGACATCAACAAAATTCATAGAAAATGATAAATAAAAAAGATGATATTGAGGGAGGAAAATATGAAGAAGAAAAAAAAAGAGTTTTAGAAAAAAATTGAAAAACATGAAGTAAAAAAAGGATAAAGAAGACAAGATTGGCTAATTTCCGCAAATCAAACCTTCAATGGAAATTAGATGATGGACATCTTTTGTCATCTATGCTTGGGAGCAGAGAGGAGGGGAAAAAAAAGAGCAGATTTCATGAAGGAAGAAATAAGACACGTTTTGGAGCATGAAAGAAGATGAAGGGGATTTAAATTACTATAATTAATCGTATCATAAGCATTAGATAATTCTATGAATAAAGGATAAAAAATCATCATAAATAAAAGAAATTATAAGTATATTAACTAATTAATATAGGAATAAATTTGCCACTTAGTACTACGTTCTATTGGTATTTTTCTTCACTTGTAAATGAGAAATTTTTGTTTTATAAGTTGTCAAATATTTTAAGCTTTTAGATATAAACTAATGTAATCTTGTGGCTAATATGCATTTGGTCTTACGGATCCTCAAAATAAGGACCTTAGGAGAGCATGACTTGGCATATTAAGAGGTAATCGGAGCAATGGTCCTTGAATTTAGCTCAATTGGAGCTTTGGTTCTTGAACTAAAAATTTGTGATTATTGGTCCGTGAACTTGTTATAATGTGGAACAATAGTCCTATAGTCTAACTTTTTAAGAACATCCATCCCTTTTTTGTCAGGACCATTGTTTCACATTGTAACAAGTTCATGGATTTTTAGTCCAGGGACCCAACCTCTAATGGGGCCAAAGTTCAAGGACTATTGCTTCAATTTTCTCAACATATTAAATTCATAATCCAAGGGGGAAGCAATGTTGGTAAGGGATGGTCAATGGGTGCCCGTGTATACTTCATATATCATCACCATCATCATCACAAGCACAAACATCACAACTCACTACCACAACAAACACATATCTACACTTAAATGGACCCTATTTAACTAAATGTGTACCCATTAACCATCTAGGTGGCCTTTCCTTAACATTATTACTTCTTCCAAACATGAAATTTTATCGACTTCACTTAGGCTAAAATGACGATTGATGTTGGATTCTCATTATTTTAGGATCATACTCTCAAAATGTGATAAATTAGAGAAGGATATATCTCATAATGTGCACCTTGTGGATGAAACTAAAAAAATGTTCGTTTAAACGTAACCGTGCACCTAGACATCGTAAATTTGTAATAGAATAGCTCATAGCCTAGCTAAATTTGCTCTCTAATATTGTAATACTTGTAAAATCGGAATAGAAGACGTTCCTCGGTGTTAGAGTCTACTCTAAATGATGATATGCGTATAGTATCTTAGCTTAATGAAATTCTATTTCCTTAAAAGAAGAAAAATACGAACCTACTCAAAACTCAGAAAGCCATGAATCTTGCCTTCTGCATGCTAAAAATTAAATTTAAGTCAACCGGCTGGTAGTTGGCTAAAGCATATTACCAAATGAGAAATATATTTACATATTAAAACCACAACCAAATTCCATCGACCTTCTAGCTAGTATTTAATGTCACCCTTTGCCCATCCGTTTCATCAAATATTCATCAATCTAGTTATACACCTATATCATCAAATACACACAAAAAATCAATGGCTCCTAGTTTTGAAGATGGAAAATCACTATTCAACTTTGTTGTTCGAGATGGCAATGGTGTGAAGGGCATGGTGGACTTAGGCTTGTCCAAAGTCCCTGAGCAATACATACAACCACCACATGAGCGCATAGTGAAGCTGAATAGATCAGTTCATGAGCTACCACCAATTGATTTGTCAAAGCTGGATGGACCTGATCACGACCAAGTGGCAAATGACATTGCCAATGCTGCTGAGGTTCTTGGGTTCTTCCAAGTTTTGAACCATGCCATACCTCTCGAGTTGCTAGAATCCCTTAAAAGTTCTGCTAATGATTTCTTCGGACAAGCGCCTGAGAAGAAGGCTGCGTATAGGAAAGGTGTGAGCCCTAGCCCGCACGTAAAGTATGGGACGAGCTTTGTGCCAGAGAAGGAGAAGGCACTGGAGTGGAAGGACTATCTGAGCATGGTGTATACTAGTGATGCTGATGCTCTCAGTTATTGGCCCAATGAATGCAAGTATGATATTATTGATTATTCTTTTCATATATATTGCCTGCTAATTTGAACTACACATTCAAATTAATTGCTAACAGCTTATCTAATCAATGGTTTGTTTGTTTATATTCAGAGTCTTACAACATATCATATGTCATAGTCTCATAATAAAATGTTTGCCTCTTAATACGTACCCAATTTCTAACAATCATAGACAAATTAAAATACCAACTTGATCAAGTGTTCTATGATTAATATGATATATTTACAGGGACGTTGCACTCGAGTATCTGAAAACCTCAACAGATATGGTAAAGAAAATAGTGAAAGTTTTGATAGCAAAGCTTGGAGTGACACTAGAAGACTCAAAACTTGAGGCACTCATTGGGTTAAGGATGGTTAACATGAATTATTACCCAACATGCCCTGATCCTGACCTCACTGTTGGTGTCGGGCGTCACTCAGACATGGGCACCTTAACTGTGTTGCTGCAAGATGGAATTGGAGGTTTGTATGTGAAACTTGAAGAAGACATGGATGGTGGAAAGAAAGGAGAATGGATTGAGATCACTCCTGTCCCTGGTGCTCTGGTCATCAACATTGGTGATACGTTACAGGTTAGTTCATAGCTACAAAATATATAAGATTAAGCTTTGTATATATTTGTTTCGTGGAAAAAATTTCTTTGACGTGCATATTTAATTTAACTAGATTATGGCTTTTGCTTGTAAAATCTTGTGAAGTATTTGAATACAGTTTAGTTATATTTTAACCCTAGTTTTGAGTCTTTTGACCATAAGCTACAAGTAGATTATCAAATGTGTCTGAAAGTTTCGATATCAGATACATAAACTAAAAGTAGATGGTTATATTTATGCTTACAATTAAATGGGTAAGTTGTAGAAATTCATTATCAAATGTGTTTCAATTTTTTGTATGAAAAATGTTAATCATAATCTTCTGCGTGTGGTGAATGAATCAGAACATAAATTGAATGTGAGATTTATTTAACCATGCAGAAAATAACTTGCACTTGCTTATGGTAGACAAGTGTGGCTAGAAAAGCTCAAATTATTATGGATTTAACCATGTTTTAACTTGTGATATTGTTCTGTTGTAGATACTTAGTAATGGAAGGTACAAAAGTGCTGAACACAGAGTGCGAACTACAAGCAGCCAATCAAGAGTATCTGTCCCAATATTTACCATCCCAAAGGCAACAGAAAGAATTGGGCCATTGCCTGAGGTGGTGGAGAGCGATGGAGTTGCTCGCTACCGTGAGGTGGTGTTTGAGGATTATATGAACAACTTTTTTAGCAATGCGCATGACGGGAAGAAGTCTCTTGATTACGCCACTACTTGATCTGCAAAAGATATCCAGTAATTTCAAACCAAATAAGTTACTATGTGCAACTTTAAATTAAGTTTGCTCCCTTGATCCATGTAATAAGGAGGGGTTGTATTTCTCTTTGTACTTTCACTTTCCTCGAGTCTCTTTTTGTTAACTGTTTTGTAATTTCAGTTTTCTTGGTTATCTTTTATTTTGTGAACGGAGGGATCGAACCACGAGTATTTAAGGGTGGGATAGGAAAATAAAAAATGAACAAAAATCAAACCGTTCACTGAATTGAAACTGAAAAAAAATCGAACGGAAGTTAAAAAACCAAATAGAACCAAAGACTATTAGTTAGGTTTCAAAAATTCATAAAATTGAACTGAATTAACCGAATAAAATATAAATTAATGTTGCAATCCTATTGGATTAGAAATGTGACTCTGTAAATCCTAGTGTATCTAGGAGTATCTTATATATTCCTATTAGAGATGTAATCCTATTAGGGTAAAGATTCTACCTATGCTACTACCATAAATAAAGGCATAAGGGGATGATACAACACGCACATCATAATTACATATCTCTCTTCTCTCTGTTGTCGCCGGCCCCTCTCTCTTTTTGTCCTTTATACCGTTCAGTCAAATAGACCTATAACACGTTATCAGCATGCACTTGCCAGAAGCTAAGGAACTAAATGATTGTGGGAGGCTCTCTTCTACAAATTCAAAGACTTTCAATTGTTTTCTGCCAATCAGGTTCTTCTAAAATAAATTAAGATATTTGAAAAAAAAACCTTGAAGCATGAAAACATTCTCCATGATGCACGACCTCCTATATTTATATTTTCCTTTCAATTATATATATTGCATATATGTTCATATATTTTGTCAATATATATACTTGTTCATGCAATACGCAATTATGCTATGTGGAATTTGCGAGTCAAAGTATCGAAATTAATTTAGAAGCAAGTAGGGTTTTTAACCCTATAATTGGAAGGGAAAAAAAGAAGAGATTTTTGCGGCATTTGCTGCCACACCATCGTAGAACCCTTACTTTGGCCTACAGCCTAGCCGTGTGGAGCAAACCTTGGGAAGGCATCGTTTCGAAGCCTTGGACCATTCGTAGCAGCCCTTTGGGCTTGCTGCCGCTGAACTGCAACTAGGCCTCGGCCTGGATTGGATTGCACCACGGGCCAGGAAGCCCCGAGCTCACACCAGCATGTCTGAAGCTTGCTGGGCTTGTTCCTTGTCTCGGCCCAATCTGCTAGTAAGTTTTTTTGCTTGTTGGGCTTTGCTTTTGCCACGGGCCACGACCTATGTGGCTGGGCTTGTCCCTACGGCCCAAAAATCGAAACCTAGCTTCGGCTGGGGTTTCCACGCACCACCCGCAAGCCAGCCTTGGGCTAGGCTTGCCCCGTGCACCGATTTCAGCCCATAACGTCAGCAGCCTTGCTGCTGGGCTTCCTAGACTCTTAGCACGTGGCCTGCATCCACTCGAGGCCCATACCTTTAGGGCTTTGCCCTACTCACGATACCCAAGCCCATCGTGATTGGGCTATGGTTTTTCAAACCCAATGCTATTTTTTGGCATTCTCTATAATTTTAACATGAATGTTATAATTATTTTTTCTTCTACGATTGACCTTGTATGGTCCAACCTATTGAATTAATTAAAGTGATCAATAGTCCATTAATCTGACAATTAAACCAATATTATTGGCCTGAAGTCCACTTTTTGGCATTAATGATTAAATAAATTATTTCGTTTCTTTGAACCGTTGACTATCTTTCGCAGTCCTGATGCACTCACGCTTGGGTTCCTGAAGCAATTCACAAATTCACTACACTTTATTGTATATTGTATTCTGTGTTCTTGTAGGTACCCTTAGATGAACTAAACATTCATAACTAAATCAAACTTGTAGTTTCGAATTTAGTGCATTTGTAACCCGAAGTTTTCATTCAAAACTTACCACATGAAACCCGTAGCTTTTATGCTTAAATTAAACCCATACATGTATATAGAACTTGAATGTTCTACGATATATGTCTATGGTTTTCCATATGACTAACCAAGTTTTGTTGTACCCTCTGTTTAGGGACATGTCCAACTTGAACAAGCTCGATTTCACTGCTCTGGAAGTCTCTGGAATAAACTACCTGAAGTGGGTTCAAGACGTGAAGCTACAGCTTACTGCAAAGAGTCTTAGAACTACTATTGAGGAATCAATCGACAATGAACCCGTCGATGAAGCTCAGAAAGCTACTACTATGATCTTTATCAGAAAACACATCCATGATGCACTGCAGATCGAGTACTTCTCAGAGGAGGATCCATGTACCGTTTGGCTCGCTCTAACAGATCGTTTCGATCACCAAAAAGACATTTACTTGCCTGAAGCAAAACACGACTAGCAGCATTTACGCTTTCAAGGCTTTAAGTCTGTGAATGAATACAACTCTGAAGTTTGTAGATTCCGATCACTGCTCAAGTTCTGTAAAGAGGACTTAACCGAACATGATAATAATAATATAATGCTTCACAAAATTTAATAAAGCCAATCTCCATAAAGGTCTGCCGTATTTCCCCTACCTGGATTTCAAAGCATTGCTCCGACTATTTATTACAAAAGTCTACCTTCAGTAACTCCTATTCACAAGTGTAGGCAATGACTAAAAAGCATGACATGAACTTTAACCCCAGTCAAATAACTTGGCATTACTAATTGAACACCAACCAATTCAAATGTCATTTTGGTTGATCTAGAATAGCTTGGTCATAACAAACTAAATGTTTGAATAAGTACAACTTTTAGAAAATCAGGGAGCATGTGAAATTTAAATATACATATGCATGCTTTCCTTTGGTATATAATTAAGAAAGGTGGCATTTTAAACCATGTATATGCATAATACAATTATTTCCAACTCCAAGACATATGCTTTACTTCATATATAATTGAAACTATTTTATGTCTGTAGCTTGATAACAAGATAACAAGCTTGGATCAAGTTAGTAGATAACAGTTTTTTCCTCTGATTGGTGTGTGTGTGTGTGTGTGTGTGTAGTCTGATACTAATATGTTGCTTTTTATATATAACTCGCTGAGAAATCAATTAACATATATACTTGAAGCGGTATTGCAAAAGATAGCAATATTGTAGGATTGGATTTTGTGAGGCTAATTTCATAAGAGCTATCACAAACAAACGATTCACTCTATACTATAATAATACTAAGACTTTCTTGTCTAACTCCATTCAATCACAACCCTAATTAAAAGCTCAGAAGCTCTACCATTTAGGTCAAAGAATTAGTACTTACCCTTCTGTGTCCGTGTTCCCCTCATACTGGCAGAAAGACATTAGTCTACCGTAATCGACCTTGCTCCTTTATTTGATTCTTTCAAAGTCGACTAACCATCATCAACAGAGCAACTCTCTTCTCTTATACCTTAATTTGTTTCCCATTCTATTGCCATCTCCGCAGACATCCAATTCAACCTTCATCTTAATTTCTTTTCTCATCCTTTCTTTCACTCACTCACTTTCTCCGACCCAAAGTACCTTTTCCCTCTTCTCTTTATTCATCTCTCACTAGACTCGTTTCTTACTGGAGTTTGCAGCTCTTGAGGTCCCTATTTCTACTTATACAATCCTTGGTGATTACGCATCAGATAAAAATATATATATATAGAGGAATAGTCGTCAATTAGAGAGGAGGAGCTGTCGACTTGATAGAGAAGAACAAATAAGGCAGCTACACTTAGCTAATAGATAAGGCTTGGGTTTTTTTATCGTCATGCAAAGCACGAGCTTCAATTGTTCAATAATCAAAGTGAAGGGGGAGGTGTCACTCAAAAGGAAAGATGAACACTGGTTTTACCACCTCCAAACTGGAGTGCTCTCCAAGTAGTCCTACTCATTCATCATTTCAAATTACAAGCATGCCATTCTTTCATTTGGCCAACACATGGACAACAATAACCAAATAAATTTGAAACATATATATATATATATATATATATTTTTTTTTTTTGTATATTTAATCAAAATTTCTTTAATTACTAAATAATAATATATAAATATAGGTCTTCACAATTCCAGATTTGCAATCGTTGCAGTTTATGTCGACGACATGAACCTCATCGGAACTCCCGCAAAGCTTGAGGAAATTGCCGTTCACTTGAAATCAGAATTTGAGATGAAAGATCTTGGGAAAACTCAATATTGTCTCAGCCTGGAGATCGAGCTTTGTTCGGATGGAATCCTAGTACGTTAATTGAATTATACCCAGAAGGTGTTGCGACATTTTAATGAGGATAAAACAAAACCTTCAAGTATTCATATGGTCATTCGGACTCTATATGTTAAACGAGATCCCTTCTGTCCCAAGAAGGATGATGAAGAGATTTTGGAGCCTGAAGTTCCATACCTAAGTGCAATTAGTGCTTTATTGTACTTGGCTCAATGCACTAGACCCGACATCTCATTCGTTGTTAATTTTTTGGCTAGATACAGCAACGCGCCTACACGCAGACATTGGAATGGTGTTAACGACATTTTCCGCTACCTTAAGAATCTGACGAATTTGAGCTTGTTCTGCACCCACAAATCCTTGAGAGGAAACGCTGCCCCCTTGGTCCTCGGGTTGATTCCCGCCTTGTTAGTTACGCATATGATGGTTATTTGTCTGACCTACATAGGGCACATTCTCAAACGGGCTATGTCATTACCGTTGGAGACATTGCTATATCTTGGAGGTCTACCAATCAAACGCTAGTTGCAACTTCTTCGAACCATGCTGAGATTCTCGCCTTACATGAAGCCTCGCGATAGTGCTTTTGGTTAAGATTAGTCATGGAACATATTCGAAGCACTAGTGGTCTTTCTTCGATCGTTGACCTTCCTACGACGATCTTTCAAGACAATGCAACATGTATTGAGCAGTTAAAGAAATAATACATCAAGGGAGACAACACCAAGCACATAGTGCCGAAGTTCTTTTATTTTCACCAGCAATGTGAAAACCCGTATTTTAGAATATATATATATATATATTATGGTACTTTATTTATTTGGTATTAAGATAGTTATTCTGTTTCATATAGTATTTCCAATGTATATTATTTTAATTTACATGCATTCATTCTAGTGAGACTACCCGGCCCCTTATTTTAACTTACCATTGTTGTCAACTTTAGAGTAGTTGATATAGGCATACATATCCTATCTTGGTGGCTTTCATGTTAGGAGGACACAAGTGCAACAGATGTCTTTGGCAAGTTAGAGATAACACCATCCAATTATTCATTCCAATCTTATTTGCATAGTCATTACATTGGAGCTTAAGGTTGTTCCGTGTGTACCAGTCATCCTCTTTAAGTGACACCTATTTATCCACTTGGCAGCCAACTCTACTACCCTAACAAGTGTTAATCTCTCATACCTTATTATCCAATGATATTGGACGCCTCCTGCTATACTTGCCAAATTTCTACATCTACAAATAGCACCCCACCTTTCACTTTTATTCAGACAATTCCTCCAAATCTTTTTATCTTCGTTGCATGTAGTTTCTAGGCAGAGTACGTTGGTTTGTATAATATATTATATAATATCTATGTATATATAGAGAGATTAGGAAACAAAAAGAGTGATCAAGGAGTTTACTCAAGTATGTGAAGCTTAGCTATTTCGGTAGTGACGTGGATAAGCACGTGGAGCTTAATTATTTCGGTGGTGACGTGGATAAGTACGTGGAGCTTAACTATTTCAGTAGTGACGTAGATAAGTACGTGAAGCTTAGCTATTCCGGTAGTGACGTGGATCTTTATTTGAGCTTTGGAATTCAGGTAGGGGGAAATACGGCAGACCTTTACAGAAATTGATTTTATTAAATTTCACGAAGTGTTATAATATTCTTGATCTTTTTTGGTTGATTAATGTGGTTGGATATTAATTGGCTAATTGCTTCAGTTAAGTGTTTACTTGTTATTGGTTATGGAATTATTGCTGAAATGTTATTCGTTGAGAATATATTGTGATACATGTGAATGATAAAATGACATTATTTGTGCATCATTCATGTTGATGTGGTTGGAATTTCAGTGTTCAGATTGGAATTATGGAAATGATATTTTGTGTAGTTTAATCTATGCATTGTGAAACTAGTTCCAAGCGAACGTGCACATTAGAATAGGACATCGACGGAAATTGTTGATGTGGGTGATTTGGGCTGGAGATCAATGACTTAGATAAGATAGCTAGCAAAAAGGGTGTATGAATGTGGGATATCGTATGGGGGTTAGTTTTTATAATAGAACATTTGAACCACCACTGCAGTGGTAAAATGCAGGGTATAGGACGTGCATTTCCGCGTGTTTATTATATAAATTAACGGGGGTAGCCGAAGAGGTTGCATTGCATTCATGCATTGTTATCGATAATAATTTGATGTTTGGCTATATGATTTCATGACACTTAATTTAATGTTGTCAATTTACTGTGATGAGGTTATGTCTCTACTGAGCTGTTGAAGCTCATCCCTCAATTGTTATGCAGGTTTACGACCTAGACATTCAAAAGGGTAGCCAGGATGAGATTGGATTGGATTGGAGTAGAGAAAGTTTATTCATCTATTTACGGTAGGTTGTAAAGAATTCTTGATTTGTTTGTGAATCATGAATTATTTTTATAAGAGGAATTTATTTTCCAACCCGTTCCAATTTCCTTTTATTTATTGAGTTTTTAACTCACGTGTCAGCTTTGGGTTTGAGTTTTTATTACCGACTCCAGGTCCGAGGTGGGACAAGCAATAACAGCATCAGAACATTGAAGTCAAGCAAATCCGTTCCCAAGACAACCTAGTCAATCTCTTTACCAAGTCATTGCCCAAGTCTACTTTTCAAAAACTCGTCCAAGGAATTAGTATGCGTAAATTATCTGGGTTGGATTACTTGTAATTCTCTTATTTAGAAGTTATGTCTAACTCAGAGGGAGTATACTAAAGCATACTCACTTGATCTTAATGTACTCTTTTTCCTACGATTAGGAGCATTTTTCCCCACTAGGTTTTTGCTACCTAACGAGGTTTTGATGAGGCACCCATCATGGAATGATCATATTCTGTTGAATTCACTACTTTTGTCCTGTTTGACGTTTGTTTTAGGCATTATACATATTTCTCACCTTTTTCCTTAGCTTATGGGTTTTTGCCTACCTTAGGTTTCACCATAGCGAGTTTTTGTGAGTTTTACTACCAATGCATACTTACTTTCTTATATCTGAGACTCGCATTCACCCATTGTGCCGACGATTTCATTAACTGTTCTACCTCATTTGCTGAAGATCTAATGCGATGTTTTGTTTGAGTATTTACACACTCAAGGAGGAGTGTTGCAGTCTTATTGGATTATGAATGTGATTGTTTAAATCCTAGTGTATCTAGGAGTATCTTGTATATTATCTTTAGTAGTTTTAATTCCTATTAGAGATGTAATCTTATTAGGGTAAGGATTTTACCTATCCTACTACTTTAAATAAAGGCATAATAGGGTGATACAACACACACATCAGAATTACATATCTCTATTCTCTCTCTATTGCCACCGGCCCCTCTCTGTTCATTATACAATTCAGTCAAATAAGCTTATAACAATTAATATATTTTTATTTATTAAATTCGTTTTCTTTTTTCAAGTCCAATTTCAAATAAGAGAAAAATCTGTATAACCCAACTTCAAGCCCATACTTCTTGAAAAGTCTAAAAGTTAATCTTTTTTTATCCCCTAGCCGCCTAACTTTCTCTCTTCTCTCCCACACTCTTCCTCCGCACGGATTGGTATGCTTGACCGGCTTCTCTTGTATATTTTTTATTACTTCTTGTGACTGTAAATGCTTTGTCTTTTGCTTGATTTTGATGTGCCATTGCACTCTTGAACACACAAGGAAAAACTTTGACCATTGTACATTTTTATGACTTTAAAGACTCCACTTTATTTATCTTCTAATATCTGCATGAGCAGGTGGGCTTTAAACTGCAATTTCTATTTCTCGAATATCAGCGCCAAGCTCGCACAGAAATTTTGAAACTTCTTCCAAATTTGCTGCCATAAAATTCAATGTAGTTTCTTAATTCTAACGATACTCTTTTAGGAAAGAAAGAATAAAGACTATGCGCAAAGGATATTGGTCAGATGCTTGAAGCTTCATGGAGATGAGGGAGAGCGAGAGGAGAGACACGGAACGCAACATGAGGATCCTAGTCCATGAATCCCTTCTTGCTACAAGTCATCTCCAACATTCCTCGCGTACAAGTCATCCCTAATTTTCAGATTTTATTTTAAAAAAATAATGTTAAGGAGAATAAAATTTTAAATCGAATTTTGTAAATCAAATAATATAATTATTAATGATTAATTATTATGTTGATTAACGTATTTATTTATTATTGATGATATGCCAAACTAAACCGATAAGAAAAAACTGAATAAAAAAATCATAGAAAAGTAAAACGAACCAAATCAAACTAAATTAAAATGTAATTGAGCACAATAATTACATGTATTAAATACAATTACTATTCTGACAACCAGATATTGTCCATATCAGAAAATATATTTTAATAAATCACTGACAGCCATAATGATAAACATTGCATCACAATTCGATAAATACAGAAGAAAAAAAAAAACAGAAATTTTTTTTTTATAAAAATAGAAGAGTCAGATAAGAAATATTGCGTTTTGGTAAGCCGAATCAGTTGGCGTTTAGAACTAATAAAGCTTTTTACTTTTTAACTTCTCAAGACCACTCACAAACGCTTGAAACTTGAAGGCACAAAATTTTCATTTACCGTTTAATCTCATCTCTCTATCCCACTGTTTAATCGAGCATGGAGGCGAGCAAGGAAGCGTTTCTGAGAGAGTTTGGTGAGCACTACGGATACCCCAACGGTCCCAAAACCATCGACGAAATCCGAGCTACCGAATTCAAACGATTAGATGGTCTGCATCTCTTTAATTCCCTTCTATGTTCCATCCCTTTTAATTTCTGCTTGTTTCCCGAGAAAATTGAGCTGGAAAATGATACAACGGAGCTTCTGAGATTAAAATTTGTTACTTTTCAATCTTTTTAGTTGACGCAAGTGAAAATTTTCAATCTTTTAACTGAATTATTATTGGGTTTTGGTTGTTGATGCTGTTGGGTTTGGAAAATGTAGGACTTGTGTACTTGGATCATGCTGGTGCAACTATGTATTCTGAGTTGCAGATGGAAGCAATCTTCAAGGATTTCACTTCCAATGCTTATGGAAACCCACGTATCCTATTCCGTGTAAAATGAATGATCGGTTTTAGAAATCGTTATGTAGTTTAAAACTTGAAATCAGATATTCCTGTAATCTTATTGCATTTTTTTTTTCGTTAAGTTCCTTAATTTGTATCTAGATAGCCAAAGTGATACCAGTTCTGCTACGAGTGACATCGTAAGGGAAGCCCGGCAACAGGTATACCATGTTATCTCCATCTGCTTTCGTGTTAGTTTTCCCAATTTATTGTATTTTCGAAGGTCCAATCTTTTTCTAATTTTTCCAAGTCTTTAGACAGATTGTCAAATGTTGTGAGTTCTAATTGTTGTTCTGAATTGTGTTAGTGAGCGATATTTAATATCTGGTGGTTCATGTGCAAAATCAATAGTTAGTCCCACATTTTATATTTTGAGTTTTTTGATAGCCCTGTGACGCTTGTATAGGTCCTGGACTATTGTAAAGCATCCCCAAAAGATTACAGCTGCATATTCACTTCTGGGGCTACAGCGGCGCTGAAACTGGTAGGGGAGGCCTTTCCATGGAGCTGTCAGAGCTGTTTTGCTTACACGATGGAGAATCACAATAGTGTACTTGGGATCAGAGAGCATCCTAGCATGCCTTACAAAATCATCATTTTTTAATCTCTGTTATAAGTTACAGCTTCCAAGTTTGTGCTTAATGTTTAGCATAGTTGCACATCAGTTTTGTCAGATGATTGACTTCTGATTGATGTTGCGCACTTATGTTGTGCTATCGCTTATGGCCTTTTGACCTGTATACGTGTTCCCGGTTTTATTATGCCTGAAATCTTTTTGCAATCAAGTCTGTTCCTTTCGTTTGCGATTGTTTGCACATACTGCTAAATTATTAATTGAAGTCATTATTCTTTTGTTTTTTTTTTGCCTTTTTCACCTTCTTAAGAGCCTGAAATCCATATAAATGTAGCCCTTAATTAGTTTAGATATGCACTGGGTCAAGGAGCTGCAGCTTTTGCAATAGATGTTGAAGAGACTTCGCATCATGGAGTGTCTAATGGTACTGTGGCATCCATGAAGGCATTGCAGCACCCAATACAAAGGAGAAGTGAAGCTAGATCCCTGGAGGGAGAACCAACAGGTATTTCTAAGTGGACACTTTAGATATCGACTGGAAATTGACCTGAACTTTATCGCAGCACATCTTCCAAGCATCTTTGAATGGTTGTTTCCAACATATGTATTCACACACACACATATTTGATAGAGAAAGAGGGGGTCCAAACAGTTTGGCTGAATTATGAATTTTTTCACGGTTAGTCCTTGTGATATTCAAGATTATGGCAATCTCTCATTGGATATCTGTTCCAACATCAGTAAGTTGGAACATGACCTGTGAGGATTGTTTGAACCCATAGAAAATCTTGATTTATATTTCTCATGGATCGCTTCGAATTAAGCTATTTCTCTCTGTCTCTGTGTAAGACACACACGTGCACACACTGGCTGTCTGTCTTTCCCTTCTAAGTTACTTCATATGCATATATGGATATAGATATATAGAGGGTAATGTTCTATACTCTTATATAAACATCAGTTTTGCATACTGATATTTTCTTGAGAATTCATGATAACGTATGGGAATTTGATTCATTTAATTGACCTGATACAGGTGATGCATATAACTTATTTGCCTTCCCCTCAGAGTGCAATTTCTCAGGGTTGAGATTTAATCTTGATTTGGTGAAGACAATTAAAGAAGACCCAGCAAGAATTCTGGATGGCTCCCCATTTTGCAAGTATAATAGTCATACCATCGTTATCCATTTAACTTTTATATATGCTCTGCCATTTGCACTCAAGTCTAATTTGAATTAGTGAATGATGGCATATTTTATCTCGACAAAATTATTATTAATAGAGTTACTGCGATCAGTTTATATTACGCTTATCAGTCCTTTATGGATGTCTGTAGAATACATATTTGGAGTGAAGATGTGATAGATATTTATCCTTTGAGTCTCTCTATCTGTCATCTGGTCTGTTTTTTTTTCAATGAAGTGTTTTCCTGGAAGACAAGTATACTAAATTCGTTCTTGTAGAATCTTTGCTGATGATCACTCTATGATTGCTTCTCTGTTAGACAGCATATTTATGCCCATTCTAGTATACTTTCTTGTTTATATTGCACATGTGGGTAGTATACACTACAGAAATTTTGAGAATTTTTCAAACAATTCTTCAAATTGAGCATTATGCATTAAATATTGGTTCTTTTTTATTTTGTATCTCAGAAGTGGCCGCTGGATGGTCTTGATTGATGCTGCAAAAGGAGCTGCCACAGAACCACCGGATTTATCACAGTATCCGGCAGATTTTGTTGTTATGTCTTTCTACAAGGTACATATATTTGTTTGGATTGTATTAGAAACAATCACCTTTGGGTATTGATTTTTGGTTTTGATGTTTCTTGTTAAGCTATTTGGTTATCCAACTGGACTTGGAGTGCTCATTGCTCGAAAGGGTAAGTAATTAATCATGAATACGTCCTTAGCTTCTAATGGTGTGCTAGAAGTTTTCTCTAATCTTACATATTGTTTATGCTATACCTCAGATGCTTCCAGATTACTAAAGAAGACATACTTCAGTGGAGGTCTGCACCTTTTTATCTAATTTTCTATCACCATCGGGATTGTTACTCAGTGGGTAATCATTAGAATATTTCAGGCACGGTCACAGCCTCAATTGCTGATATTGACTTCGTTAGAAGAAGAAAAGGTGTGGAAGAGCTGTTTGAGGACGGTACCATTTCATTCCTGAGCATAGCATCTATTCACCATGGGTTCAAAATTCTCAATTCCCTAACTGAATCTGCCATATCTCGGTATGTTATAGTTTGTTACTTTCATAATGCATTTTGTACAGAGAAAAATAAACCTTTTTCTTACTAATGTTTCTTTTGTCCAGAAATGTATTTTCTTCTCGGTTTTCATACTTTTTCATTATAATCTTTCATCAGTTGTGTCTGCCTACACACGTTTGATATGCTCTACTGCGTGACCCTTTTATACAGGCATACAGCATCACTTGCAACTTATGTGAGGAAGAAGCTCTTGGCCTTGAGGCATGAAAATGGAGCCAGTGTTTGCTCACTCTATGGAACTTCAAAGGTTGTAATTTAATTCTTATCGTGTTTCTATTGTTCTTAACAAAGCTGCTGCTTTTATTTAAACAGGGCCCGAATGAAGGGCTTTATCTTATGGGGCGGGGATGGTTATATTGTTATTTTTATTACAAGTAGACATGGATTTTTAAGGGAGTCTCTCTGCATGTAATTCTCAAGGGAAAGATAGTAGAAGGTGAAAACCAAGTTTATTGGAGTATCAAGATCCATTTTTTTAGTTTCTTGACTTTCAGCGAGTCTGGTTAACATGATGTATACGTTTGCTATGCTTTTTAACATTTCTGATTTATGGGCTTCTTATATGTCAACGTTAATTAGTTTGGGAAGTCTTACATCTGATGAGTATACTCTACTGAGTACTGACACTCAATCTCTTTCTACTATGTTTTTTGGGATTTGTAAACAACCATCTGCTGTGATTTGACACTTTCCTCTATTAGGCATCATTTCATGGATTTGGCCCTACAGTCACTTTCAACTTGAAAAGGTCGGATGGATCTTGGTGTGGATACCGTGAAGTGGAAAAACTGGCATCTTTATCTGGAATTCAGTTACGGGTAATATTTGTGAGATTTTCTTTTGGCATTCAACCGATCCTATTGTTCTTTGAATGGCATCAATTTTTTCCTACTCCACTTTATAAGATCAGTAACTTTACTCCCCTTTGGATAGGTTTTGACAGTCCCTTATATCCTGCTTTCTGTGTAGACAGGATGCTTTTGCAATCCCGGTGCATGTGCAAAATATCTTGGCTTGTCTCACTCAGATCTTCTTTCAAATATTGAGGTTTTTCTTGCTTCTCAATCAGTTTCTTTTATTATATTTACATGGTCCACTCATGACGTCAATTTAACAATTAGGTTTTTGAAATTAGGCTGGCCATGTTTGCTGGGATGATAATGACATAATTAATGGCAAACCTACTGGAGCTGTGAGAGTATCCTTTGGTTATATGTCAACGTTTGAAGATGCAAAGGTAGATATTCATTCTCAAACCATAGAGAGTTCTAGTAAAAATTTTGAGTGTACAGTGGCGCTGCATTTCTGTGTTAAAAGAGTGGAATATATAATACGCAGTATACACACAAGGAGAGAAATATAGCCGAAAACACTAATTTGGGGTTTTCTTTCCTGTCTAATTTTCTTCTCTCTTTCTTGTTTTATGATATGCAGAAATTTGTTGATTTCCTGACAAGTTCGTTTGTGGCATTACCAAATTGGAATGAAAGTGGTTATCAAATAAACCAAGGTTCATCCTCTTTCTGGTTAATTAGTATGGTGCTTTGTATTATCGGCTGAATGAGTTGAAAACTGGAATTAGATCAACGTCCTTTATTTCTGCTGTCAAATTTTCTTCGTTACACTTTTCTTAGTGGTTCTTGTGTATATGTGTTGCCTTCACAGTAAACTTTGTCAACTTACTAAAATTAAGTTTTAAAAAATTGTAGGTCCTGAAAGCAGACTACCAGCTGCTTGTTTGTATCTCAAGTCGATTACCGTCTACCCAATAAAATCATGTGCAGGATTCAGTGTGGAAAGTTGGCCTTTGAGCAGTACGGGTAGCTATTTACCATCTTCTCATTTCCATGGGTTGTGTAAATTTAAATTTTTTGGTTGGGTTGGAGCTTCTAAAGTTGATTTACAAATTGAATTTTATTTTTTTTTCTGTGATTTTTGAGCAGGTCTGCTTCATGATCGAGAATGGGTTCTTACAAGCCCAAGTGGTGAAATTCTTACACAGAAAAAGGTAAAAGTAGTTTCTGATGCAGAAGTAGTTTTACATGCATGCGCACATGTACAAACACAACTCTATGGGGAAACCTGGTGTATTTCCATCTACTTCCATATGTCCATTTCCCATTTCAAGCTTTTTAAATCCACCCTGCTAAAGCAGCCATGTTTAATCCATGGCGGACATATCTAAAGTAGTGATAAATGAGTTCCATGTAGATTATTTTGAGCTAGTCCTTTTAGTATTTATTTATTTAGTTGTTTTTTTGTTAAAAGGATTAGCTTTTTTCTAAAAGATGAGGGTATTTCTAGGTGAAATATGAACAAATAAAAAAAATATGTTAAACAGCATTCTAGATGTGACCCACACGGTTATAATTTCCAAGTGTCTGATCTATTCTTCATAGAGTTTTTCATAGTTTTGATACAAGTGATATTAGGGGAGGGGGGATACGACCACACGATCTTGGGGGAGATTTCATAATTTGGATTATGTGAACATCAAATTGTTTAATCATTTGACCAACAAAATTGATAAATATTAACTTAATTCTTCTAAACTTGGTTTTGCAGGTTCCTGACATGTGCTTTATCAGTACTTTTATTGACCTCAATGAGGGAATATTGTTTGTAGAGTCACCAAGATGCCAAGCGAGACTGCCAATCAACATTCTGACAGATTCATGCAATGGTGTGCGAGAAGAAATTAAGTTAAATGGCCAGAGGTAAGAGAAAAAATTTAAACTGAAATCCCATGATCTTTTAGATTTTCCAGTCGGTCAATTTAACTGCTTTTTAATCTTCACTTCTAGATTAGTATGGCCTTGTTAGCGCATTCGCTATGTGACTTTCTATACCGGTGGAATGTTAGTGTCATTATTACCTGATTTAAGTAGGGTTTAATTCAAGTCACAGATATCGACAATTACTATAGCAATGACTGATGAAGTAACTAGGACAAAATTATTACCAGAGCAGATGCGTGCATTCATATATGTATATATACATATGCAGATCTTGGTGGCTTGAAATCAGCATAATTTCTTAAGCATTTATTTGTTTCTGGGTCCATTTTTCTAATTTGAAAGGTCAAATAATGTATCTGTTAGTTATTTTCTGTGAGTATTTGTTATTACAACGATTTCCATGCAGTGAAGTTATGAAGTTTAGAAAGTTCGCTTAAGTTTTCAGTTATCCTCTTCATTCTATAAAGCTTTTGAAGTTATGATGTCTTTTTTCTTCCCTTAGATATGAAGTACAGTGTTACGACAATGAAGCCAATATTTGGTTCAGCAATGCCATTGGCCGACCATGCACTTTATTACACTGTTATAGTTCGAATCACAACCATTGCTTGAATAAGAGCAAAAGTATGTGCATGGGCAGAGATGCGCAGAGCATATTGAATTTTTCGAATGAAGCTCAGTTCTTATTAATATCTGAGGAAAGCGTATCTGACCTCAACCGCAGAGTAAGCACAAGTAAGTTCTTACATAGTAATGGAACCTCTTACTGTACTGTAAAAAGCATGTCAAGATGTCACTTTTAATGTGTGTTTAAACCCCTACATGAGCTAGCTAGCTGAAGAACATATTCCAATCTAACCAAGGCCAAGTTAGCACATACAGAAAAGTTTCTTCAGACGAACAATTAATGTCTATACTCTTTCAATTTAGCGGTTGTTTGGTTTATAAAATTTCCATTTCCCTTGATATTTGAAATTTCATGCTACTGAGTTATTGATGGCAGAAGACGTACAAAAGGGTGCTCGTGGAGCTGCAGGTCAAATCGATCCACTGAGGTTTCGGCCCAACCTCGTCTTATCTGGGGGTGAACCATATGTTGAAGATGGATGGAGAAATCTTAAAATTGGGAATAAATACTTCACAGTAAGTCATTACTTTAAACATAAGGATGGCTTTTCTCTCTTTTTGTCTCATTAATTTGTTTATGTTTTGTTTCCTAGTCTTTGGGTGGATGTAATCGTTGCCAGATGATCAACATTGTTCATGAAGCTGGACAAGTGCAGAAGTCAAATGAACCTTTGGCTACTCTAGCATCGTATAGGAGAGCGAAGGTAATCCTGATGGTTTTTTGAAAGTTATGTTTATTTAATTATTATTTTTTTAATTCACAAACCAAATCAGATCAAATTTTTTACTGACGCAGGGAAAGATTTTGTTTGGGATACTTCTGAAATACGAAAGAAGCGAAGTCGTAGGTGGGGACGATGATTTGTGGCTTCGAGTGGGACAAGATGTAGAGCCGAATATCTTGTAGCTTCATGACATGTGTATGGAGCAGCCTCGGACGGTATCTAACAAGTATAAGTTGCATTGGGATATAGTTAGGTATTCCTACTCACAGGACTCTCTAACATTGGTATAAATGCAGAGCGGTCTGATGCAAGAACTTGGCAATGGTCTTCTCCAGAAGCATTCGACTGATTTAATACGTTCCATATACGGTTATGGCCGCCCGGAAAATTGAGATTCAGTGCCATATATACTTGTGTGTGTACGCATAAATGTACTAATTTACAACATTGCTTTATGCATTTAGATTCGGCCATTCTTAGAAACATAGGGTTTGTCCGTTCTAGCCAAAGATGTCTTGCTTATGAAAAGCAACAATGTACTAGTTAACACATATAATCAGATTTTCTGTTTCATTAGCAACTCAAATTCTCTCTTTAAAAAGGTAATTTTGGAGAACTTTTGCTATATAAGATAGTTGATCATACTTTTGAGTGACCGGGGTAATAGAAGCAGATTTGCATCGTTCTAGTTCGTATTGCAGTCTGAACTTTGTAATAAGCGTTAGGGAGTATTGCGTTATGTGTTTGGAGAAATTCTTGAGTAAGGCTGTGACACGGGGAAAGCTCTCACAGCCTATGTGGACCATGTACTCAAGACTTTCTCGGGCAGTTAGCAAACGGACTTGTTTCTTGGTCAAAGAAAAATGGAAGATCAAACAAAGCTGTCTTTTGGATTTGCAAAACAACTTGATTGACCAAAGATGAAGTTTAAAATATTCAAATAGGTTTTTTGATTGTAGAAATCGTTTAATGTACTCTCTCTCTCTCTCTCTGTGTTCAAATCGGGACAAGGCACCAGTCTCGTCCCAGTCGAGAGAGGGTGACCGGTTCTTGGCACAAACGGGCAACAGTTTTATCGACTGGGCAGAGATTTTTTTTTTTTTTTTTTTTTTGGTAGTTTCGATCCATTTTGGTGGCGTAGTTGCATATTATTAGGATATAAAATGTATGTGGTTCAGAAAATGGAGAGAAAAACAAGAAATTAGGGAGATGGGTTTTAGGTTTCACTCTCCATTTTAAGGCGGCCCAAAACTCGGGAGTTAACAAAAACCTAAATCTATCATATTCAACGTGGAATAGGCAGCGGGGAAAACCAAAATGGACTAATTAGAAAAAAACAAGAAGAAGATGCTCTCCATGAATCAAAGTCAGTAATGCATTGGGAAAGTTTGGAAGGAAAAAGAAGTTTTGATATAAGCGCCTCATTTTTTCAATGTCGTTGATTAAACATTTGTTTCATTTAAGAATTTAATTAAATATTTTTTCTACAATTTTAGAGCAAATTGTAGTAATAGTCTCTTAACTTTAACTTAATTACAGTAATGGTCCTTCAACTGAAAATCCATTATCATTGGTCCATCAACTCATCAAAACGTGCAACTATGGTCTCTCAACTAAAAATTCATTATCATTGGTCCCTCAGCTTTAACCCAATTGGAGCAATGATCCCTCAACTTTAATCCAATTGTAGTAATGGTCATTCCAACATAACTCATTTTGACAAAATTCTAACGAAGTTGACGAAAAGGATTATAGCTACACGTTTTGATGAGTTGAGGGACCCAAATTGTTGCAATGGTCCTTCTAACACAACTTATTTTGACAAAATTCTAACGAAGTTGACGAAAATGACCATAGTTACACAATTGCATGCAGTGGCAGAGCCAGGATTTCGGGTTAGGAGGGGCATCTCACAAATATTTAAAAAAAATTAAATCAATAGTAGTTACAAAACTGTTAACCAAAACATCATACTATATATATGAAAAGTAACCAAAATTCAAAATAACATAGCATTGATAATATTACATATCCCCAATAATTAAAATAATTGTCCTCGACGAGTTTTCATATTTTGAAACCATTGCATAGTATATATATGCTAATTTTACAAGCTAAAACAAATTAGGCAATGGTTAAGAGAAATTGCAAGACATCAATTTAATCATAATTTATAAACAAAAAATTGTAAGAGAAATTGAGAGTAAAATACATACTTTGGGTTGTTTACCAATTAACTAAACTTCAATGTCTTTTCTTTGATGGAATGATGGAATAATGGAATTCTTTAATCTGCAAAAAAAATATTATTTGTTAAATTAATTTACAATTGTTGATGACAACATATATGAATTAGCAAATTGCAAAAAAATTGAAAATGACAACTTTGGAGATTCGAAGTTCATACCCTTGAGGATCATGAAAATTGAAGCTAAATATCCTTCAAATATTTAAAGAGGGCCGGATCTTTTGTCTAGGAAATTGGAATGGTTTAAGTGAAAAAGTCTTGGAAAAATGTTAAAAATCAGTAGTACTATTTTTATTTTTTTAATAAGCAAAAGCAGGGTGGGCCTAGGATTATTGTGGTCCTATGGTCCCTCCGCCCCTATTTTCATGAGTTGAGAAACTAATGGTAATTAATTTTTAATTGAATGACCATTGCTCTAATTTGATTAAAATTGAGGGACCATTGCTACAATTTACTCACAATTTTATTAGAGGTACGTTTGTTTACTTATAATATTAGTCCATTTGATTTTATGGTACATTTTGTTTCTTGGTATATTTAGAATCTAAACGAACCAAAAGTCGATACGTTTATTTTCAATGTACCATAATTTCAAGGGGAATTGTTATTAGCACTCCACAAATCTCATTCTACACTCCGCACAAGTGTTTTTTTCTTTCTAATTATAGAAAGTTTGAAGTGTAAAATGAGATTTTTGGAATGCCAATAACAATTCTCATTTCAAATACATTTTTCATGTAACTATATGTAAAATTTTAACAAATTAATGAAGTTTTTATGAAAGTATTTCCAAGATTTTTTTAATGAAAGAAGAGACTAATTAAATATAATAACAGAAATAAAATTTAAATTCTTAGAATTTAGGAAATTAGTTGTTAGCTAGCTTAAGTGGATGTATATTAAATAAATAAATACTGAGTTGGCAATTGATCAAAGCATCCTAATCAAATATTGTAAAAGAACAGATGTTTAACTAAACAAGTTGGAAAAAAATGTAGGTATCTAATAACTCCAAAAAAAATCTTGCTACAAGAAAGAGAAAACCACCGCCACTATGGTTGGTATTAGGGTCGGCGTGGCAACCCCTCTTGGTCTCTCATCTCTTTTCCTTTCCATGTTTCTCGTACTTCTAGCAATCTCCATATCGCCACTTAGTACTATGGTCTAATTATTCCTTTTCACTTGTAAGTGAAAGGTCTTAGGTTCGATTATTTCCAAAAGCGGATTTGATCCACATTATTTCTTGCTCTATATTTGGTATATATGTCCTATGTAAGTTAGTGGAGTTGTGATGTTTCGTTTAGCATGTATTGCCTATTTTTTCATGTTCTATATTTGGTATGTCTGTTCTATATATGTAAATTCTTAACAGCTTTTAATAAAGTTTTATTTTGTCTTAAAAAAGGGAAAAAAAAAAAAGAAGAGAATATGAAAATATGAAATGTGCCAATTGAAGCAGCCGAAGTCTCTGACCAACGAAAAAATAATGACCAGCAGAAGTAATTTGGCCTGCATGTTCCTGCTTACTCGAAAAATGGTTCATGACCAAAGACCAGCAGTCACATGTTTTGGTTCCTTTTGAGTTTGGCTCTCTACAAAATCTCACCAGTTCCCTCGAATTTCATGCAATTTTTCAAACATCAATTAAGAATCAATCATACAAACTTAAATTTGCCTTAGTTGACCTGGTCATTAAAGCCACTAGGAGTAGATTACTCTCCCACTACTAACTTGTCTTGGTGTTCAATATTTTGTCTTGTCTAATCGCGTGGACTTGTTCTTAATGTTATTTTTCTCCTGGTTGCTGCTCATATCCATGATTTTCTTCTCTCTTCTTTCCCACCCTCTAAACCAGTAATTCCATTCTCTTAATCTTAAGTAATTAGTTTAAGTTGACCTCCATATCGATGGCTACAGCGACTGCTCGTACTGGCTTGATTCCATTTTATTTATAGCATTGTCCTACTCACAAAGCTAGATATATATCCTAATTAATCGTGTTTCTTTTCGTGAAGTTGTACTAATTAATCATCAAGTTGTACTAGTGCAGCCATGATCTGTCATTGACAACACATTTTGCCTGATATTCATTCTGCGACGTGGGGTATGAGAAATTAAAAAATGAAAAGGTTTGCAAGAGTAGTTTAGCATATACATGTACAATTTTCACTAACAAAAGATAATACTAAGGAGATCAAAATTTTAAATTAAATTTATAAACTAAATTATATGTTATCAATAGGAAATAAGTATGTTAATCATCACTTAATTAATATGGAGTTTTAAGGAAAAACCCGCGGTACTGTTCACTTTAACGAAAAACCACATTTTTACACTAAAAAGTCAAACCTAGTACTATTCACTTTATCCTTTATTTTATCTTTATCGTTAAAACTCAAAATTTTCAAACCATTTTCATTAGTTTTCCTTAATTAATAATTTAAGTGCCATGTGTATGGAGCAGCCTCGGTCGGTATCTAACAAGTATAAGTTGCATTGGGATATAGTTAGGTATTCCTACCCACAGGACTCTCTAACATTGGTATAAATGCAGAGCGGTCTGATGCAAGAACTTGGCAATGGTCTTCTCCAGAAGCATTCGACTGATTTAATACGTTCCATATACGGTTATGGCCGCCCGGAAAATTGAGATTGCCATATATACTTGTGTGTGTGTACGCATAAATGTACTAATTTACAACATTGCTTTATGCATTTAGATTCGGCCATTCTTAAAAACATAGGGTTTGTCCGTTCTAGCTAAAGATGTCTTGCTATTGAAAAGCAACAATGTACTAGTTAAGACATATAATCAGATTTTCTGTTTCATTAGCTACTCAAATTCTCTCTTTAAAAAAGTAATTTTGGAGAACTTTTGCTGTATAAGATAGTTGATTATCCTTTTGAGTGACCGGGGTAATAGATGCAGATTTGCATCGTTCTAGTTCGTATTGCAGTCTAAACTTTGTAATAAGCGTTAGGGAGTATTGCGCTATGTGTTTGGAGAAATTCTTGAGTAAGGCTGTGATACGGGGAAAGCTCTCACAGCCTATGTGGACCATGTACTCAAGACTTTCTCGGGCAGTTAGCAAAAGGACTTGTTTCTTGGTCAAAGAAAAATGGAAGATCAAACAAAGCTGTCTTTTGGATTTGCAAAACAACTTGATTGACCAAAGATGAAGTTTAAAATATTCAAATAGGTTTTTTGATTGTAGAAATCGTTTAATGTACTCTCTCTCTCTCTCTCTCTCTCTCTCTTTTCAAATCGGGACAAGGCACCAGTCTCGTCCTAGTCGAGAGAGGGTGACCGGTTCTTGGCACAAACGGGCAAT